AGCCAGCTAAATTATTAGCTTTAGGTCTGCTTGTTCATATTCGACGTGTCTTACAGCTCTTTCAAGTAGATTTCAAGCTAATTTTCTAAATTATTGTTCTAAACTTACAAGTATGGAATAATGGATTATCATCTGTGACCTGGTGGTACGTCATACCTCAGGAAACAGTCACACATGCGCAGCTCTCACACAGAGATTTTGTATGTTGTTGATGTTCACCTATTGAGAGTGACAAAGCATGTTCTCTGCCAGCCTGTTTGATTGCCTGACGAGGACATTCGGTAGGATATCTCACCAAAAATCTTCAAGTTATTTGCCAAGCACTAAAGCTATTGCTCTTTAGTGCGCTAGAAGTGCTGGGGCTGGCAGTCTTGATGGTGAATAGCATTTCCTTTTCATTTCCAACTCTTTGCATTTGTGGAGCTACCTCTCACTCTGTAATTGAAACTTCATGAGCTAAGGACTTCATGCTGTTTGTTTTGCCTAGACGGTTTATTATTTGTGTGTCTCCAATAAGGGGCCCTGCCAAATACAGTCTGTCAGTGGAACAATGTCTCTTCTGCTGATATTTGTATATTGCAGAGTTATCTTGTGCTATGTGACATCTGTATTTATCAGTGCTCAGCAAGAGAAGTAATTGCCTCAGGCCTGTGCGGTTTTCAACATCGTTAATCTTGTTGCTCCAGCGAAGTACACGGGAGTTATGAAGCCTCGTCTACAGGTTTGAGGGGCTAATAGACTCGAATTCATCTTCACTGTATTAGTAGAGGGTCATCTCTTTTGAATTTGTTCTTACGGTTCTCCTTAGTATAACTAGCCAGTACACTAATTTCTCTCACTGAACATACTTGTGTTCCTCTAGGTCAATTATGCCACCTGGTTTTGGACATATGGTGACGCCCTGGGGAAAACAAATCTACAATCCCTTTAAAGACTTCACCTAATACCAGATTGTAAAGATGCATGGAAAATAACGTCCGCCTGCTTCTTTGGTCTCAGAGCGCAATTCGTGGAACATTTCCTTGATATGACATCACCTTAACATGAGAAAGATCGTCGTTAGCATAATAGAAACGCTTGCGTACTATTTGACGAACTGAGAATGTTGTAGCAACTCCATATAGAAGCTCTTTCAGCCTCTTTTCCAATTATTCAAATTATATGATGTCCTAACTCAGTCTTGCATGATTGTGGAACATTAATCCATGTGTCGACGGCATCTCTTCGAACTTTGATGACAGATTTGCAACTTGAATTAGGCATTCACATGGCAGAAATGTTGTGGTATCTGCATTAGCAATTTTCATCCAGGTTACATTCAGTCAAATGTGACTTTCTTACATATAATGGGATTATATGCATATGATATAGGATTGCTTTCAGGCCTAGTTTAGCCCATTTTATCATCTACTGCTAACTTGGACTTGCCTTGGCGAAATACAAACCATGCAGCCCAAACTAAACTTCTCTTGAAAAGCTACAATGTTGAACAATTGATCTAGATATTCTACTCAGCTACGTGAAGATAGCGAATTTGAGAACACTGACTATGCCAATTATCGCAATCCGTCGAGTTTCAGAGTTATATGAACCAAGTTGCTTTTTTCTTCAACTTGTTTATTTGAAACCTTTTCTTTTATTTAAAGTCTCTTTGCAATAGCATCTAATTCCAGGCTATGTTATTCTCGCGTATTAGGAAGGGGAGGAGTTTAATATGCTAATGTAGTGTGTCGTTTCATATAGTTTCAGGCATTTTCCTCAAAAAGATTAACAAATAAATTGGTCTCCCAATGATGTATCATTTATAAGTGTATGGCGGAGATATTCTTCTAGATGCTATTGACACTGCTGCTTGTACTCTCGTTAGGTTGTCTGATCTGGTAGATTCACATGTCAATTCTTCCCTCTAAATACCACACCGTACTCTAGTTTGAAGTGAGATCCCAGGGTTGTACCCTACTCTTCTGCAGAATTATTGGACGCTATGACTGGTTATGACTCGAACATAACTTCTGATTTCAGCTTTAATCTCTCATGTTCCAAGTTGTCAAGTGAAAACTCACCCCGTTTCTCCATCTTTTTTGTCCAATCTTGTTTCATTTCACTGAATTACCAACGTGAAATTTCAGCTGCAAAGTACATATAGATTCATATCATCCTGCTCATCTTAGCTGATGATGTCATGCCTTTGCTTGTCGCGTCTCTGCATGCTAAGGTCATAATGTTTAATTTTGGATATTACTGTCTGTCGCATCTATGATTCGCAATTCTGTGTCCTTGCTGAGCATTTGTAGCCTAAGATACTGTGGGCTCCTATGGATTAGGCGAGCATGGGGCCCACGTATCAATCTCCGTGATTCTCATCTTATAGCGCTAGCTGCTGCTGAAAGGCAATTTCTGCGATGTGACTACGAAGAGTATGCTGTTGAAAATAATAGCAGCATTGCCTGCCTCCGAACCGTGGCTCTCGTTGTAAGTGATCGGAACAAGGATTTTTCTATCGATTATTGCCTCTATCAGGAAGTAAACGTGGATCATTAATTGGCAGTTGTTGATAATTCTACTTCTACGCCAAGCTCTCATGATTATACGAGAAACTGGAATGGTGCAAGAATCATCAATGTTTTTTGATGTAAGTCTCCAATACCAATGATGCTTTAGTATGCACGAGTGTGCCTGCAACTTGAATATAGCAGCACAATTTACTTTTTTCTTCAGAATCATTTTCTCAACAAAAAGTGTACATGATTGGGGGAAAAATTCGTGGTATGTGGGGCAGCAGATGTATTTCAGGCCTTCGAATATTTTGATATCCTTCCATAGGTTATTTCGCATCCCCTTTTCTGCCGTCATTACATGAGTGAAGTTGTGGAGGTGAGTGAACTGAGCAGTTGGCAGACTGTAATTACTTCCTGCGATTTTGAAATGATAGATGTGTACCCTGCCTTTATAGGTCCCTATTAAGTTGAGGTGTTTAGAGTAGCACTTATAGGATTGAACATGAAACTTTTTGGGAACAACTGTGAGTTTTGCTATGGCAACATTTGTAGTTACTGTTTCCAATCTAGATTGATTCCGTTTTATTGAAGTCGCTGCCACTTACAAAAGAGTGCATGAGTATGTGCTTTAATTTGGTGAGACAATTTGATCATGAAAGTCTGGATATTAATCTATTAATTGTGATCATAGTCCGGTCAGCCAAGCTCATAAGTTCATGTTGTAGGCTTTTAGCTTTTAAATCAATGAAAAAATGCGAACGAACTAAGTGCATTGAACTTTTCAGTGATAATAATCTCTCTGTAGACTAGTTTTTACGGCATGAAAGTTCATTGTAATATTGGAAATTCAGTTTCAGGTTTCAGTTCTTCAGTTTGCTGGTTTTCTCTTGCCATGCTACGTAATGGCCAGATCATGGTACATACAAAGCCGTAGGAGACAGGTACACCATTCTGCTTCACTTGACTGAATAATTAATTTGATGCTGAGAGCATTATAGATGACTTGATGACAAACGACAGATGTGGTTTCTTTATGTCACCTTATGTAGACCAGGATTTAAATAACGTTGCATCGCAATTGATCAGAAGAGTGTTGATAATACGGCACAGGATTGCTCAAATATACTTGTGTTGGGGGTAAACAAAAGAAGGAAAGAGAAGATACATGTTTCAGTTAATTGCAAATTTCCCCAACCTTAGGTGTCTCTTGCAGTTGCAAAGAGCTCCCCATCCTTTATATCTTTGCAAATATTCCCTTAACCTATGGGATTCGTTTTTTCTTTTTGCAAATAGGCCCTTGTCTTTTTAAATCTTTTAAAATACCTTCCCAACCTTTCAAAACGAAAGACTCCGTTACCTTTGTGTTTTTGTCTTTTTTCCGTCAGTGAGAAGGAATGTGCCAAAAATCTTGAAAAGTTAAAAATGCTATTTAGAACTTTTTTAAAGAGAAAGACTTGCATTTTCTGCCTAAATGATTGATTTTAGCTCTAATATCTTTGAATTCTTAAATATGTAAAGTTCCAAATATTTTTTGGTAGCTTGAATTGGTAATCACGGGATTATTTATCTTCTGTAATGCGTTAATATGCCGTATTTTTCAAAAAGTTTGAAATTTAAAGCAAAATACCCAGTTTCACATTTAGGTCTATCTAAGAATCTTTTAGTAATTTATGTATTCAAATGTAGCTTGGTAACAACTCTGCATTCATCAAGCCAAAAACGGGAAATTTACTTATTAAGACAAAATAAAACATAAAACGAATAAACAATGATACGATCAATCAGTAACTTCTACAAAATTGACAACTAACATAATTAAGAATTCCAACAGTTTTTAGTGGAAAATGGACATGTTAACATGTTTTAAATGGCATTTTTTAAACTATCTATTTTTTTATGTCAATTTAGGCAGACTGAAAATACTAATAAATATGGTAGTGGAGGTCTTTGCCTATCCTGAAGGCTGGGGGTACTTGTCAAGATTTAGAGGGCAGAGATTTTTGCATATACCTCAAAAATTGGGGAGAATTCGTAATTAACCTTACATTTTGACAGATTACTAAACAGGATTCTTTGTGTCTAAATAAGGAGATGTTTACATGAAGATTTGATGACTTCCTTTCTTAAATTAGTTCAGTTTTTACTGCCACTTTTAGTTCCTTTTTCCCTGATGCTGGTTTTGTGAGGAAGATTGGTTTGCTTGAATCTTTGATGTTCTTAAGGTAATAAAGTTCAAGATAAGAAAACTATGATAAAAGTCATCGAATTTGTCGGGTTGTGTTAACTCAGTATTATGATACATTTCGACCAAAAAAAACAAAAAAGTGTTATGATACATATAAAACATCGGTAAGGAATAGTTGTGGGAATAGTTGTGAAGTCTGACATATATAGTTTGTATTTGTCTCAATATGTAAACCATCAGGAGATTTTCCTAATTTAGAGTTTATTGCACCACCTAAGCTATTTCTGTTCCATTCTATTCTGATGTATTTCTTCCAGGTTTAAGGGAACTATTTGGCAAAATCATGGATAGCTGTTTGTCTATTTGTGCCTGAAGAGGGTTTGCTGCTTATGGATCTGACTTTCCGGAGTACTTGATGTGGGGAACTGCATTTCAACTTAAGGTGTAGTTGTAGTCTTTCCAGTCTTACTCTGACCTTGGCCAAAAATAGAAAAAAAAAACCATAAAAATGGAAGGAAAACGACGAGTACGAGTCAAAGAAATGACATGGAAAAGGAGAGAAATTGACTGATTAATGTAATGTGAGGGGAATATGAGAGACAAATTGATGTAAATGCGTGTTGATGGTTTTTCTTTTATTTCCGTAAGTTCCAATTGATCACAAATCGACCGATGTGGTTGTTCTGTATCAGCCTTTCTATGGCTGGTGATCTCACTGTGGACCCTGATATTTAAGAATGAAAAATGTAAATAACTTCTATATTAATGAATTGCTTGAGTAGGCATCTTCGCTTGCTGGAGCTTTATAAATCATGGACATGGAAAAAAAACTACCGGACCATCCTTTTGTGGTCTAAGGTGTCCTCGCAAAGAATTCTTGTCCTCTATTCTGAAGTGATTGGATGCTGTTTATTTTATGTGAAGTTGCGAACTCTCTCCTTTCCTCATATCTCGCTGATCAAAATTTGGCTTCTGAAGAATGCCTACACCCCATTTTGGTAGATGGGTAGTGCACTTTCTTTCCATGCATGCATAATTGTAGAAATTTTATCCTGTCCACTTTCCCGTAGGCGGTGTCAAGATCCGGCCACATGATTTTAAACTTTTGGCTAGGGTATAAGGTTGAAGTGATGCGGACCTAGTTTAGGATCCAATAGTTAGGCGATACCGCCAATCATGTAGACTTGCGAGTGTAAACTCGTGTGTGAATTGTTCACTGTTTACAAATGTGAGATAGGAGGATTTTGAGCAAATTTCAAGACTCGTGCAAATTCCTTTTCTTGTAGAATTTCACCAGCGAAGGGTCATGCAAGATAGGGTTGTTTTCCTTCCCATGGTAAACTCCTATGATATCATAGGACCGGTAAGAAGAGAATTCCAACTTCAAGGGGTTAAGCCGAGTTGGTAAGTTGATTATATGCTTGCACTCTGAAACTCGATGATTGCGAGAACTGGCATATAGTCAGGGTTCTAAAAAATTGCCGTTCTTCACAAAGCTGAGGTAGAATCTCTGCGAGATCATATGTCCGAGATTGTAGCTTTTCAAGAGAAGTTAAAGTTTCGGCTTTACACAACAAGAGAAGAAATTTAGAGAAAACGCAAAAGATCAAAGTTCAGAGATAACAAATCAATAAAACAGTACTTATTGGGCGAATGTGAGCTACATGATTTGCCTTGCCATATGACAATCGAGAGGCAAAGTAAAGTGCCAACAAGGCTATCTCACCCCAACTTCGACAATATGATCTTTTCAATTTCTTAGATCATCTCTTTTTATCCATTAGCTAAATTTTGTCAGAATTGTACTACTTAAAAAATTATTCGAACAACAAAACTAATATATTAAAGCTCATGAACTTCTCTTTTATCTTTTTCTGAATCTATTTCCAATTATGTGAACTTTACATAAAACTATGTTCGTATTTATCTTCTACTGAATAATATTTTCTTTTAAAGGACTTAAGATATATTTAAAATAAGTGGATTTCAAAAGGACCTCTAATTGAATGAAATGTCAATATTAAATTTTTTAACTTCTTTTTTTAAAAAAAATAAGTGGTGTTGTAATATTTAACTTTTTTTTTAAAAGTAAATTAGTGTTAGTGTAGTATCTATTATGAACGAACATTAAGCAAAAAAAGTCATAACATAAGCTATAACTCCAAATTATACTAAAATATTTTAAATTAAGTAGATTAATTTTGTATTCATTCCCATCTTGAAATATACTTCAAAATATAAATCTTATTCATCTGATAAGATATATTTCTCTTTGTAACTTAATTTTCAATTTACTGAATAAACTATCCATCAATATATGTATGTATTTTCAGTTTCTTGAATTATAAGATTAATCAAGAGATAAGACTTGACAGGGATAAATATTTCGGAAAGATAACAGTTATAATATTCAAAATACTTTGTCTCTTCTATTACATTTCGGAAGGATAATAGTTATATTCCTCCATCAGCTAGCGAGGAAAAATTAGGCGATAAAAAATAAAATATCATACTTTTAAGGTTCTCTTTGGATAAGCATTTTTATTTTTGCGCTGAAAATAATAATAGACATATTTATGGAATCAATAAATCCCTCATGCGATGCTCTTATCTCTTTGAATTTTTATTATTTAAATATCTGTTAAAATTAGAGTGAGAATCGGAAAGACAGATCAAGAGAAAATCCTGGTGAATTGAATTTGAGTAACAAAGGACCAAACAAAGTGCGGAAAAGAAGAAGAAGAAGAAGATAAAAACTGCAATTTCCAACCCTACAATGGAAGTACCAAGTTCACTCTATGAAACAGTGGCATAGAACGTTGACCCCTCTTCCTCTTGGTCACCGTTCATGAATGCACTTCATCGCAAGGAAGATCAAGATCACCGAGAATTCGAGGCGGGCCAACAGCACCCTATGCGCACCATTTTGCCATAGCCGCGCGTCCATCCGACTAGCAGCAAGAACAGAGTAACAGATACCGCCCCGGTGAATAAAGATGCCAAGATTTTGAGAACAGGACTGGGATGGTTGAGGGCAAAATAAATCAGGGCCACGGCGCCTGAAACTACGAAGAGGACAGCGCAGACGAAGAGGAAGGCCTCTTCGGCCCTGGCAAATTCGCCAGAGAACCACCCGTCATGTGCTCGTTGAGGTGCATTTAGGTCTCCTTCGGAGTTCGAAAATCCATTGGACATGTCCGTCCGCCTCTGGGTAACCAATTCTAAATCTGGAACTAGAGCATCTCCGGTTCTTCCAGCCAAGAACAGGTTTGGATTTGACACCGTGGCCGACAACTCTTGAAGGTCTGGTGGTGGATGGAAAAAAAAAATAAATAAAAAAAAAAAAAAAAGGGGGGGGGCCGTCCGAAATAAGCTCTCAACTAGGCACGGCGTAAAGAAAATCGGGCATATTACACCAGGCCCTTTTTGAAGAAAAGAACCCAACCCGCAAAAGTTAAAAAACCCCAAACCAAAAAAAAAAAAAAAAAACCCCACACTTTTTAAAGGAGGAAAAAACCAAAAACCAAAAAAACAACTTAAGCCCAGACGCCCACTTTACCTAACTAGAACTCCCCCCATTTAACCCTCGCCCAAAAACCCAAAACCCAAAAAAACAAAACCCACCCCCCCCCCTTCCCGAAGGGCGCACCACCAAACCAAGCCCAAAACCAAAACCCCCGGCCCAGAGAATTCCTACACCCAAAAAAACCGAGAACAAACACCAAGACCCCCCCCAAACCAAACCGCGCCCCGACCTTCCCCAAGGGGGGGCCCCAACGGAAAAAGGGCCGCCAAAGGAGAGTTCTCGGCATAAATGCCGGTAGTTGCAATTAGCTCTCGAAATAAATGTCGATATAGGTGGTCGACGAGAACGATACGATCTAGGCCACTCATCTAAATCGATCAACTGGCCAGTAATCCGAGGCCTCTACTATATAAACCGCCGTCCTCCTCCTCATTCAATCATCCAAAAACAACAAGAAACATTTCCATTCCCTCCCAGAGCTTCTCTCTCTAAGTTCTCTCTCTACAATCCGAGTGTCCGATCAAGTGAACGATCGGGAAAAAGGCTTGGCCTAGGTATTCCAACGATCCAAGGAAGCCTAAGTCGCCGCACGGGTCATTCCCAAACTATCGGCCCGTGACACAAACATCATTATTCGCACAATCATGTTCAACGCTATCACTCATTTCATGCCTTCGATCCACACTTGCAATTCACTCGCTCCCAGCATATGCAAAATCCATAGAGTTGCATCAGGAACACACAAACAGAGAACATATACAGGGCAAGTTTGATTCGCAATTCAAGCATAGCAACTAACACAAATGGGGAATATCTTGTAGTTTCTCAAGCAAATAATCATTCCAGTCTACGCCTGATGAACGTGCCAGCGACAATCAACTAGTGCTCACAACTCAGCACATGAGTATTTCAGTTAATTTCATAGAATGAAGTTTATCATATGCGAATGTATCGAAACCAAGTATCTTCGGGAATGAACTCTAAAGTGAATATCCGCTGTATTATCTAAATACAGTGAATGGTCGAGCAGACGAGATGATCCCGGTCAAATTCTGAGCAATATTCATACCAATGCGAATCGGACATTTCATCAAGCAGTTTGTGTGCGGGGGGAAATATTGAATCTATTCACAAACTCTCGAACGTGCTCTCCGAATCAAGAGTGATGAAACTCTCTTGGATCGAATCTTCACTGGGGAATAGAGGGACGACCTCGAGAGCTGAACAACAGTTGACTAGAATCGCATTGAGGATGCGGCTGGATCTGCGGGGAAATCGCGGCCAATGAGAGGAACCGCGACGGAGACGGAGGCGCAGCGAAGACCGAGGAGGTGAAGGTTCCAGTGATGATCTTACCCAAGGAGAAGGAGAGAGAGAGGGAGAGAGAGATTGAGGAGGTTTCTTTTTTTTTTCTTTTTCTGCGCGTGTGCTAGTGAGCAAATGGTACACAAACTTTTAATTTTTTCAATATGATCTCCAAACTTTAACTCAATTTGTTCCCCGAATTTTAGCCAAATATTTAATGTGGTCCATGAGCTAAGCTTCATGGATCACATTGATAAAAATTGAAAGTTCATCGATCACGTTACGTATTGAGTTAAAGGTCATGGATCGTTTGTATCATTGCCCCTAATTTTTATTGCCCCCTAAATCAAATGCCTAAAGAAAATTTAGAAACTAACGGAATCTTAATATTTTTTTCTATCATAAGTTAAAATCTTCGGTTTGACGAAAATGTCAACCTCTGGCCATTTTTACGAAAATTCTAAACCTAACGTCCTAATCCTGTGCGCCTGCACTAAATTAATACCCTACATGCAATTAAGGCGCTAAGCAAAATTAGTTCAATTTTTTGGGTCAAGAAACGAGTTGCGCCGTAATTGAGGATTTCAAATATCGAATATTCTAATTTTGACCGTCGACAGTCACTTACCATCATGAGACATATTAGTCTTACACCTCCGAGTCATCACTGATCACTACCTTGACTCAAAATGGATGGATCGAAAACGACTGTTGCAATTTCCAAATGAAATGAACATAAAAGTGTTTTGAGTCGGAAGATATTTCTCAAACAAGAACACGGCTTCGTTTAGACATTTTCACAAACAATTGGTGGCCGGTTTAAACACATTGCACAAAACATCAGTGAAGCGTCGATTTCAGTCCATATGCTCGCGATAACATCCAGAAATATGTCCTCTGTTAACATATTCTTAATTATGGTTTGATTCTCGTTCAAGCATTACTCAGGACATTCATGTTTCCTTAAACTAAAAGGAAA